ATATATATCGTCACAAACAGAACTGCCCGGTAAACCGTAGGCAGAGAGAGAGAGAAGAGGACAACAAACGAGGGGCTGTGACAAACTGTTTCGTCGGAGTTTCACCGACTCATCAGGAGGGGGCTCAGCCTCCTGATGAGTCGGTGAAACTCCGACAAAACAGTTTATCACAGCCCCTCGTTTGTTGTCAGGTTCAAGGTTCACGTGCAATAAACCTCAAAAACAGTCACACACCACAAACACACTACAAGTCACGGGTTCAAGTGCTCCAACGCCCAAAACAAGGAACCAACAAACATAGTTAGTGTACACACAGACAAACACACACACACACAATACCAGTCACAGGATCTAATCCCGAAAAGCACAAAACAGGCAGCAACAAAATTAGTGTACAGCCAGCATCTCACTGCAATTCATTGCATTCCTACCCTCCCGGGGAGCAAGGACCCCGAGCTAGGAGCGTCCACGAGGAGAACGTCTGAGGGGTTGCCTCTTCTGTTCAGCCTCATAGGTGTGTACAACTGAATTTGCAGACTTGAGAAGTTCCTTCCTTGGGAACCATCAGTCCTCTGTGTGAGGTTGGAAAAGGAACTTCACAAGGTATTCACAGTTGGGGCCTGTGCCCCACTGATCTTCGATGCTCTCAACTTCGTATCCCTTTCCAGGGATTAGGGGTCCAAACTGCGGGGGCCTATCAGGGAATGCATCAGCAAACGTGAAAGGCAGCAGTTTTGAGGCATGGAAGACCGGATAGGTCTTGATATGAGGCGGTACAACAAGCACATAGGAAGGTCCAAATCGATCTGCCCCCACCGTATCAAGTACCTGCCATGGGCCATAGTAGACAGGCAACAACTTTGTTGAAATATCCTGCTCATCAGTTAGTTCAGATCTTTTCACCCAGACCCACTGACCTGGCCGAATAGTAGAGGGAGAGCGATGCTTATTAGCCTGTCCGATCATCCTCTTCTGGGCCTTGAACATGTTAGTTCTAGCTTTCTCTAGGTCTTTCTCATAACTCTTGGTGAACTCTGCAGTGCCAGGAGTTAGTTTAGGCTTAGACTTGTCAATCAGATCATCCAGAGGTTGCCTGGGGTCTCTTGCAACGTGTAGCCTGTAGGGTGTAAAGCGTGTAGTGTTGTGAACAGATGTATTATACATTAGTTGCGCCCGTGACAGATGTTTGTCCCAGTCCTGCTGATCAGGCGTGATCACAGGGCGCAGCAATTGAAACAAGACCTGGTTCATCACTTCAGCCTGTCCATTAGCTTCCGGATGTCTCCCAGAGGTCATGTCCAGTCTAGAATGTAGGTAGTCCTTACAGAAGGACTGCCAATCATCGCTGCAAAATCAGGGATCTCTGTCGCTGACAATGGAGAGGTTGGGCACCCATGGACATTTACCCACCTCTCACAAAAGAGCTCTCTAACCAGAGGTACTCTGGCCTCAGCAGGTAAGGGGATAAACTCAGCATACTTAGAGAATCGATCAGCACAAACCATTACCTGTCTCATCCCACGTGGCGTAGTCTTGCCCAGGTCTGTGAAGTCAATGGACACTGACTCACCTGGACCATCAGGGATAGGTAGAGGAGTAGTCCCATAGGAGGCCGCCTGTGGACCTTATCCCTTTGGCACAACTCGCAGGTCTCCAGGTAATGCAGGATATCGTCCTTCATCTTAGACCAATAGAAGCGTTGGGTCAGGGCAGCATATGTCTTTAAGAACCCAAAGTGTCCGCGAGCATCATGACTCTCTGAGATCAGATGAGTAATGATCTTGCGATCATTAGGGATGCACAGACGCTCTTCCCCCTCGCTGATTGTGTACAGCAAGCCGGAAGTCAAGGCATAGCCTGACTCAAAATTGGGGTCAGCCTGTAGATTCCTAAGAATAGAGCCAAAGACTGGGTCCTGAGGCAACGCATCAGCGATGGCCTGTCTGGTGGAATCAGCAAAGGAGTAAGTGTCAACAATGGCAGCAAATGAATCAGGTTTACGTGACAACGCATCAGCAACCCTGTTATAGCATCCCTTCTTGTGCTTCAGTTCAAAGTCAAATCCGTCAATGAACTGAATGTACCTTCCCAGTTTATCATTTAACTCACCTTGGGTCTTCATCCACTGTAGAGTGGAGTGATCAGAATAGATCTTGAAGTGTCTCCCAAGCACGAAATGTTTCCAATGTTTAAGGGCACAGACGAGAGCATACAGTTCTTTTTCATAAATAGATGCCTGAATTCTCTGCACCTTTATTTTCTTACTCATGAACTCCACCGGCTTCAGACCAGTCCCATCATTTTGCTGAAGGACTGCACCAACGCCATATTGACTTGCATCTGTGGTCAGCACAAATGGCAAGGTAGGGTCAGCTAATTTCAGCACAGGTGCTTGGGTGAGTGCTTTCTTCAATCTGGAGAAAGTTAACTGACAAGTGGTTGTCCGCCTGAAGGGAACATCCTTAGCTAGCAGATTTGTCAGGGTGTAGCAATAGAGGAAAAGTTTCTGATAAACTTCCTGTAGTAAGAGGCTAACCCCATGAAAGATCTGATGTCCCTCACAATTTGTGGTTGTGGCCATTCCCTGACAGCAGCCACTTTAGAGGCATCAGGGGATAAACCATCTGCAGAAATCACATGACCTAAGTATAAAACAGAGGAAACACCAAATGATGATTTCTCTTTGTTCAGTTTATACTTATGTTCTCTCAGGACCTGCAGAACTTTCCTGAGGTGGTCTACATGTTCCTTGGCATCTTTGCTGAAAACCAGAATGTCATCCAGATACACAACAACAAAGCAGTCAAGGAAGGGTTTGAAAATCCTATTCATTTCAGTGTGGAATGTCCCTGGTGCATTACACAAACCAAAAGGCATGACCAGGAACTCGAAGGTGCCATACCGGGTCTTGAAGGCTGTCTTGTGCACATCCTCTTCAGCCATTTCGATCTGATGATACTCGGATTTCAGATCAATTTTGCTGAAGACTTTGCAGCCCTGCACCATGTCCAGCAAGTCATCGATCCTAGGCAAGGGCTCAGAGTTGTTCCTAGTGATCTTGTTCAGGCCCCTATAGTCCATGCACATCCTGAGTTCACCATTTCCCTTTGGAACAAAGAGAACTGGTGCCCCATACTCAGATGAGCTGGGCCTGATCCATCCCTTCTCTGTCAAGGACTCTAGCTGTTTCCTCAACTCATCCAGTTCAGTAGGTGGCATCCTATAGACTCTTCCCTTGGGAGGGGTAGAGTCAGGCAGAATCTGAATATGGTGTTTGGTCTGCCTATGGACTAGTCCAGTAGGCTCCTGAGCCAAATCAGAAAACTCATCAACCACCCGTTGAATGGAAAGATCAACCTGCGAAGGGGAGGAATCTGAATCTGTTTGAGTGACATAAGCCACAAACAGATTCTCATGGTCAGTTTCCTTAGACAAGTTGTGAAACTCCCTGGCTTTCAGGCAGTAACAGCTTGTCTTAGGATGACGGTCAGGAGCTAAGACACATTGTCTTAGCTCACCCTGGGAATTCTTCAATTGAATACTGGGCAGGGCCCAGTCAATTGAAGGGTTAGTAGCCCTTAACCACTTTAGACTTAGGACCAGATCAAGGGAAGATGGGGAAAAACATAGAAATTCAGGGACTGTCTGATTTCCCCTTTGTCATCAAAGGTGACTGGCACTCCTTTGATGACTTGCTTGACTGAGACAAATTGGGAATTCCCTACCTGTATCTCCAAAGGGTGCTCAAGGTCAGTAACCTTGAGACCCAAGTGGAGTCTCTGAACTCCATTCTGCGAGATGAAGTTCCTTGTGGCCCCACAGTCAAGCAAGGCTTTGATCATAGTTCTGTTAATTTGAGGCTTGAGCATGATCAGTTCTGATCTCTTCTTCCTCTTCTCCTTTAATTGGAGATGAAGGGAACAGAGTTGATCAAGCTCCTCCTCAGATGAGGGCTCATCCAGATAGGGCTCAATATAAGAGTATACTGAGTCCCTTGCAGCCTCAGAAAAATCAGGCTCCACAACTGATTCATCTCCTGAAGGAGATGGATCCAGTTCAGTAGGGCTAGCTGCAGCCTCTGCTGGCCTGGTCAGTTTTTTGAGAGGCTGCAGTTGTTGTGGTTTAGCCTAGGGCAATCCTTGACATACTGATTGCCCTCACACCTCAGACAGACCCCCCTGTCCTTCCTCTTTTGCCATACTCCCTCTGGGATTTTCAGGTCCCTCCAACGAAAAGAGGAAGCGTCCATGGGACTGGCTGGGCACTTGGCAAACTTTGGGAGGTTTTGCTGTTGGAGACCATTGGGGGGGTTGCCTGACCCCTTAGGAGAGGAGGGCTTTTGTCCCTAGAACTCCTTGCCTCCAGTGAGTGCTAGCAGTGCCTGGGCCAGCAATTGAGCAGCCTCGTCTGCTGATGCTCCTGCACCCTGGCCAGTTGGGGGAGTAGATCCCCCCTGGCTAGTGCCTGCAGAGTCATTATCAGACTCCATGGCCTACAAGTTCCCCTTTCCCTTCCTCCTACTCTGGGAAGAGGGGTTGCCTCCCTTCTAGGGAGTGGACTGAACATCGAGTGTTGCCTCCATGTCCAAGGCTGCTCGGCCAAAAGACCGCCAATCCTTGTGTCCTGCAAAGTACAGGGCCGTGGTATATTTYTCAGGAGCTGCCCTGATGAACCAAGTCAGTTGGTCCCTGTCAGACATCTCCAAACCGGGAGTAGAGTTGAGGCGCTAAAATTCTGCATAGAGCTTGGCAAGGGAACCCCTGTACTTTGTCTGGCCAAGACTAACCAGCTCGTTTGCAGCTTTGCGGGCCTTCTCTTTGTCTGCAAACCTCGCCTCCAGACCCTGGAAGATGCTCTCTAATCCTGCTGCAACAGGCCAATCTGATAATTGCTGCTGAGACTTGGTAGCCTCAGAGGTCGCCCACTTCAATGCTGACCCACCGAACAGGGCCACAGTGGACTGCACCTCGTTAACCTCTGGGCAGATGAATCCCCTCAGATAGGACTTCATTGCATCGATCCAATCTGACACATCCACTTTGGCGTCATCACCAGTGAATTTGTCAGGTTCCATCATCTTGGGGAAACGTTGTTCCTGCTGGCCTGAGCTGCTAGCACCCAGTCTGAGATCCTCAGGGACAGCCTGTTGCTTATTAGGCGAAGCAAGCTTTCCCTTGGGAGAAGGGGGTGGTGTTGCAGGGGGGAGTAGGGACCGATTTAGGTTCGGGTTTGACTGACTGACGAGGGGTAGAGGTAGCTGAGTGGGGAGAGGTAATGAGATCTTGCCTGATTCGATCCAGGGACTCTACAATAGAAGACTGTTTGGCTTCAACTGTAGTCAAACGGTCTTCTATTGCAGCAGCCCGGTCCATCCGGGCAGTGAGGGCATCTTTGATTGAAGTGAACCCCAAACGGATCCACTCAGCCAACTTCCTGCTAGTATCACTGAATCTTTCATCAGATTCAGCGGCCAAGAAATGTTCTGCCAGCACTGCCCGTCTGGCTTCATTTTGAGCCTTTCGGTCTCCTTCATCCTTCTCTCTCCTCAGCTTCTCAATCCTCTTGCGGCTTTCCTCTGCAACCGCCGCCTCCTTCTCAATCTCCAGCTCAACGGCGGTTTTGGGAACCACAGGATCCTTGCCTTTGTCATTCCCAGAACCGCCAGAGGCTGCGACGTCAGCCATACCCAGTTAATAATAAAAAAAAATCCCAAAAAAAAAAAAAAAAATTCGGATTAGAGTTCACACACAGAACAACAATCTAATCAGAATCAGGCTGTACTGTTTACTCACTTAGAGGGAAGGGTTAGGACAGATAGCAGATAAGTACTTCGTGTCTGTAGGCATTCAGGGAGGTTGCAGACAGCGGTCAACAGCAAAACAACATTTGTTCACTTTTACCGCACGCCCAACCGATCAGAAAAAAAAAAACAATACTTTCAGACCAGATCCCTACCGGATTTTCCCACGAACACCAGCACGATTAGCAAGACAAGAACACCCGAGTCCATACACAGAAAAAAAATAATAATTGCGGCGGGACGCCGTTCGTTTCGCAGAAATAAAAATAAAACCTGTAGTTTGCAGGCTGCAAACCAGCAGGTAGACTGTGTGGACTTGATTATACAGACGACACAGCATTACTGCGCGGACCGTTCTGACACGATTGACAGACCACTTTTGGACTGACTGCTCTGCACTGACACTAGATCTGACACGGCAGACTATGACAGGACAGATCAACAGACAGCACGGAAAACGCAAACACAGCCTGTGCGCAGGCTCAAGACCCACGGTCAACTGCAGGCAAGGTCAGAGGGGGGTCAAACCGTTGACAACCCACTGACGACACAGACTGACAACACTCACCGACCTCCCGACAGGCCACGGACTGACAGACTCGACAGACCAGTTCTGACAAACTGACGGACTAACGTCGAAGGGACAGGTCGTCGGAACGAACTCACTCAATCAAGGTCTTGATTGGAGATTGCCGCCGGTCAGCGCCCAAGCTGAATACTCGCCGCAAGTCCCAATCAATTGCCGCAGATTGAATTGTCGGCGACTCTTCTGCAAAATTTGACCCTCAAGTGGTCGTATAATATCGGCGACTGGCCAAGCAGGCTGAGCCTGCCACTTTGAGGGTTGCCGTACCCTCAGGTCGCCGGCCCACTAATTAGGGTTGACGTCCTAATTAGTGCCGAGGCCAACTCAAGTCGGGAGACCACTTTTTTTTTTTTTTTTTTTTTTTTGAACTCGCTTTCTCGCCCTAGCGTACCAATCAAGCGACAACTGTCGCCGCCGACGTTGTTGAAGACTACAAGGCACCGCCCCCAACCGCCAACCGTCAGCCCGACAGATATCGGTCGTTGATTCGCCCACTGGATGCACGCGGTCGTGGCTCCGATACCAACTGTTATATACCCGATTGAACTTCAATCCACAACGAATTCACACGTTCCCATACACGCATGCAATTTCAGAGTAGACTCGAAGGAGGCAAATCCACACAAAACCAGAGAGGAGATATGCACAGCAGAAGCTCAAAATACGTAGAGAATTGAAAAACGAATTTCAATTCTGCAATCCCTCCTCCTCCTCCAATCAATCCAGACTACTTGTTCCACGAATCCCAACCACATTATCAACACCCATGGACCAATTATTTACAAGATTTCATCGAATACTTTGGGAGTCTTCTTCTTCCTCCCTCTTCCTCAAGCTCTAGCTATGGTGCCTGCGGGCACCCAACCTATCAAGCCTGCCAATCGCCACACACCCTCCTAAATTCAACACCCCTCTTCACCACCCAAGAAGCCCACTGCAAATGAAGTGTCCACTCAGCAGGGGAGCGCAGCTCCCAGGATGATGAAGAAGAACAGCAAATCGATGAAGATGAAGATCTGCCACTTCGAAGCAGGCATAGAGAAGCTGCTTCGATGGCAGCTGCCGAAACCCCAATAGGACAGCTATGGAGGAAGCACCACGCAAAGCAGGGCCTGATGTCCCAGGGCCAATTCCGCACTAGCCAGGTAAGCCCAGTTATGGCCGTCAGCTTCCCTTCAACGAGGAAGACGAACGGGCACTTTGAATTAGCGCAGCTCCAGCCGCGACCTCCAACAGCACTTCGTGAAAAAAAATGACGAATCAGAACCCGAGATTCGTCGGCCCCTGCCTACTTCTACCGGACTTCCTTAGACCTACAACACAGTAACCACCTACAGACCTATATGACCGTCCAAACAGAAAACATCTACGGCCCAACAGTCAAGATCTACCTACATGCATCTAGATGGAATCCTAGACGAAGGGAACCCAAGGCTAGGACACACAAAGAAACACCTACTGGCCTACCAGTTTCCAGAAGGGCAGAAAAGGACAAAACAACAAGGTTGAGTGGCCCAAGACTACGAAGTAGAGACTACTAGCGACAGGTTCAAGGTTCACGTGCAATAAACCTCAAAAACAGTCACACACCACAAACACACTACAAGTCACGGGTTCAAGTGCTCCAACGCCCAAAACAAGGAACCAACAAACATAGTTAGTGTACACACAGACAAACACACACACACACAATACCAGTCACCCGAAAAGCACAAAACAGGCAGCAACAAAATTAGTGTACAGCCCGCATCTCACTGCAATTCATTGCACAAACCTTGAAGGTCTCTACATATTTCTTTGTATCCAGCATCATTGTGGGCCACCAAAACTTTTGTACTAGGTTAGTTGATGTCTTTGTATAGCCAAAATGTCTAGTTCCATCATGACATTCCCCTGAAAATAAACTACGCAAAGACTCACTATTAGGAACACACAATCTTTTATTCCCTGCCTTTTCAAGAAACAGCAAGCCATCTATCATCGCAAATTCATCAATAGTTACTTTATCCTTCTCTTTGAACTTACAAATGATCTCAGACATAACTGAATCTTGCTGGTAGGCCTCCACCAAAGATCGAGTTATGTCGTCAGATATGCCAAATTCAGTCACCAACGCGCCCAGATAGTCTGCCCTTCGCAATAGTGCATCCGCTACTATATTGTCCTCTCCTTTGATAGCATCAAGTTGATAGTCATACATGTCTATCACTTGTATTCATCTCTTGAGTGCATCTGAGAGTATCGGTCGTGTCTTGATCCAGCACAGGGTCTCATGGTCAGATCTTACATAGAAAAATCTGCCAAGGAGATAGTGTCTCGAATGGACCAGCGCTCGGTAAAGGGCATAGAGCTCACACTCATAAGTAGACCTGGCTAGTTCCTGAGATGACATCTTTTTGCTCATATACTCGATCGGTCTAAACTTTGGCCCCTCCTTTTGCGCAAGGACCTCGCCTATGCCATATTGGTTGGCGTCTGTGGTCACGACAAAGGGCTTATCAGGATCGGGAAGTTTGAGGACTTCATAGTGTGTCAGAGAATACTTCAATTTCCTGAAGGCCGCCTCACACTCTTCAGACCACTCCCAAGCGGTGTCGAGTCGAGTTAGATTTGTTAATGGGGAAGCTATAGTACTATAGTTCTTAACAAACGAACGATAGTACCCCGTCATCCCCAAAAATGATCTGACCTCAGTAACAGTCTGAGGCCTGGGCCAATGATGTATGCTGGCCACCTTAGCATCGTCCGGACTCAACCCATCCGCGTAGATTTCATGACCCAAGTACAAGGTCTTGGTGCGACCGAACTCGCATTTCTCCAAGTTGATCTTGTACCGGTGCTATCTTAGGAGACCTAGCACTATTTTTAAGTGCTCAGCGTGCTCCTCTACAGTCTTACTAGAGATAAGTATATCGTCGAGGTACGATAAACTTGTCTAAGTATTCATAAAATACCCTGTTCATCACATGCCGGAATGTACCCGGAGCACTGCATAGTTCGAAGGGCATTACCACAAACTCGTACAGACCGTACCTGGTCTGAAAAGCGGTTTTGTGTTGGTCCTCCAGTCTAGTAGCAATTTGATGGTATCCGGACTTCAGATTTATCTTTGTGAAGTACTGACATCCCTGCAAGTAGGTCGTCGATGCGGGGTAGGGGCTCTGCGTTTTTTATTGCGATGGCATTAAGGCCCCTATGGTCAATGCATATCCTTAAGGTACCTCCCTTCTTAGGAACAAATAAGACTGGCGCACCGTATGGGAAGGTACTAGGCCGAATCCATCCCTTCTCTTTGAGCTCTTTAAGTTGGCGGTGGAGCTCATCCAACTCCGCAGGAGACATCCTATAGATTCGTCCTCTAGGCACCTTGCTACCTGGGCCAATCTCTATCGCATGGACCACCTCCCTTTCTACCACGCCTATAGGCTCCTCAAAAAGGTTGGAATATTTTGCGACGACAGATTCTATCTCTGGGGGTGTTTTAATGGCCTCAAAGACGAAGACTAGATACATGACCTCCTCGCGATTTTGCTTATAGTATTTATGGAAAGAGGAGGCACACATGCAGTCGTAGTTCTCCACTAGACTACTAGCTTTAAATTTTTGCACTCTAATAGTCCTACCATTGGGCAGCTTGTGTAGCAGCACCTTCCTATCCCAATCAAACTGAGGTTGAGAAACCTCGAGGTAGTACATGCCTAGCAACATGTCAAAGGGCAGTTCGTCGCTAACGAGGAATGAGATTTTATGTCTCACTTCTCCCCCTCCATAAGAGAAGGTACAAACTACGTCCTTGACATAGTCTTTAACTAACATTTTATGCTTGTTGGCTAGCGTAGAAGCCACATAGTCTTTAACTAACATTTTGTGCTCGTTGGTTAGCGTAGAAGCCACAGTTCTGCTAAGTCGCTGCACTTGGTCCCCTAAGCGCAGTCTATCCACACAAGCACGACTGATGAAGTTTCGTGTAGAGCCTATGTCTGCGATGGCGCCCACTTTGCGGCCACCTACATCAACCTCTACCACGAAATGTTCACGCTTCAGACCTCTACTGATCATCGCCCAAGAGTCTCTGGGGTCCTTCCCTGACCACGCAGACTGTAACTCCTCTAGGGACTCGGACACATCTCTCGAACAGAGTGTCGGTGGGTCTGAATGTGTCTGTGGGGCGATGTTTGGGTCACTAGCCTTGGCGAACGCCTGAAGTGGGGAAGGCAACGTTACCACTTCAGCACGAGTAATGGCGGTTAACACTCCTACTGACCCGAGGTGTTTCCCTGCGAAGTGCTCGCAGAAGCACTGCAAGGGTTCGAGGATAAGCCCACTATTGTTGGAGCGCCTACCCTCGTGGTGACCTTCTTGCCTCGGCAGGTTCTTCACGTGTGGCCATAGTTGCCACAGTTCATACACGTGCCCCTGGCAACTCCGTCCCTCCATACCTCGTATTCTAAACCAAGTTTTACCCATGCGGGTGTTCCTTGGTCGCCCTGACCCATAAACCGGCCTACCTTCCTCTTCCCGGTCCCCCTTGCCTTTTCTTTAATAGGCGCCACGACTCCCCCATCCGAAGTCTCACTGGCCCCATCATGCCCTGTCTCATCCCCTAGATCCGGGAACTCGTCAATTGTCGTCATCTGACCATCATGGTCAACGAACATTAACTGACCCTTCTTCTTCCAATCCTGTGGAAGCTTCTTCCTCCTACCATCTATTGGACCTTCGATACGCGGACCCAAGCTTTGCCTCTATATCTAAGGCATTCTTGCTGAAAAAAGCGAAGTTGTGTTGGTCGACATAGGCCTCATCTACCAACTTAGTTCTTACCTTTGAAGGTAGACATCTCAGGTAATCCGTAAGGAGTATCTGCTGGTCATAGCGCACACCAGGTACCACGAGTAGACGTTCTACGATATTTGTGATCTTGCGAACATTCTTGTACCTTCTGCCACAAAGATTGTTGATTGCGTGCGGCCTTTTGAGCCCCTTGAGGGTCATGCCACCTATTATACGCGGACCGTACGAAGTCTTCCAATGTCTGGGCCTGGGCCCACGCATCGAAGTTCTGACAGTAGCCCTGTTGCTGCACTAGGCCATTCAACCAGCGGGTCGCTGACCCTTCTAAAAAGGAGGCAGCCACTACAACTTCTTGCTCCGGCTTGGTGAGCTTGTGCCTCACATATGTGGGCACAGTTCTCACTCAGGTGTCCAGGTCCTCATCCTTTTTCCTGTCACCAGAAAAAGGTTTAGGACTCAGCAATGGGATCTTTGGCACCCACTACATGGGTTGCATTGGCCCAGGAGATTGTTACAGTGGTTGCATAGCCACTTAGACAGGTTGTTGTGCACTAACCTGAGCTTGCACTGACAATGGGACTGTAGTTACCAAAGTCGTAGATGGTACGGCAGAAACTCTAAGGACCGGACCACTAGTAGTTACATAACCACCTGTACGGGGCATGCCAGACATAGGTGAGAAGGAGGGCCCAACCGGCGATGGCCTCATTGATGGACCCGCAACCGAAGGGGGAGCTATAGCAAACTGAGGTTGCCTCATCACTGGACGAGGACCTGTAGTGCGGCCAGAATTCGCTTCTAGCCTGCCACTAGTTGAGCCAACACTTCCTGTTGAACAACCTGCGTCTCCGCCACACACAAGAGCGAATTCCGCAGGGCTTTCATAGCGGGATCAAGTGCGGACTCATCTAGTGCCTCTAGCTTGCCTAGTTCCTGCAATCTACTACCTAGTCTAGCTTTTCTCATGATAGCTCTTCTTCTTCTCTCTGCTGCTTCATCCAACTGCCGTTGCAGCTCATCCTGAAGTTCTTCTGCTTGGAGGATCTCACAATCCTTCGGCGTGAGTTGAGCCTGCTTACTGACTTGCAAGCCAGCACTCTGGCTAATGGAAGCCTGAGAACCACTCTGACTGACTCCTGTGGCATGTGAAGAGGCCTGCGACATGGAGGAGGTGGCCATGGTTGCACCTGTGCTAGCTATAGTTCTAGACCTGGCGTTGGCCGCAACGTCGCTCGCCTTCCTCGCCTCTGCTCTCTCTCTAGCCTCTCTCCGCAGTCTCCTCTCGTCTCCTGGACCTAACTCTAGGAAAGTCAAAGGTCGACTGAGAGCAGTACTACGAGTGGTCCTACGGTCGTCCACTAACAACTCCTCACTAGTGCTTGCATCACTCATGAGCTACAGTGTGTTGTGACCTAAACAAGAATCCACATTGAATCCTACCTCAGCATGACACAACCGAGTATGATATACAACTAATTTCGATCGGCCTGGACAAAAACAGTTAGGTAATTAGGTGTCAACTAATGTCAGGTCCTATAGGAAATGTTAAATCTATTTTTATATTACTCTAACACACATTGCAATGCAGCAAAAAATATACCATTCTATCTGCAGTTGTTTGTCAGTTGTAACAACTAAATAATCAAAAATAAAAACAATGTTCCCTGCAGTGATGTATGCTGAATGGCAGTCTATCTAATTAATGCCACTGCGAACAGTTGTCGAAATCCAACCCTTTCCTTGTATCTCACTCGAGTAGTCACTTTGTGTCAACGCCCTAAGCATCTGGTTGAGCAGTGTGTCTGAAGGTGTGCAATCCGGCCCACCCCTGTGCCCCAAGTCTACGTCGAACCTGCCAGCCCCTGCACCTTATTTATCCTCGCATGCAACGAGCCTTGCACCTGGCTTGATCTGGCTGATCAAGAGGCAGTTTAAGGACAGTCCCCAAGGTCCTCAGGAATTATTTAACGTCGCAGACAGGACGACCATCACAGCCAGAGTCAACACCGAGTCCCAGCCATAAATATTTAAAGACGGTCTGGTAAGCGTTTGTTCAAAGGGCTGGCATGCCCTGCATGACCTCTATTGCGCAGCAGCAAAACCAAGGACTTGCGGCGAAGTATGCATGTACTAGTCCCAACGGGTTGGCATGGTGACCGTGATCCGAGTGCTTCGTCCAAGGCCCTTCATAGGCTTCGCCCATCTCCCACCAGCTTGCTGCCCAAGAAGAATGTCGGCTCTTAAGGTTGAGCGCTCGCGACACCTCACAGTGAGAGGACTCTCAAGACAGAACTCACTTCCTCATGGTAAGAAGTAATGGAGAGTGTAGATAAGGAAGAGAGCAACGTACCTCATAATGGTGCCCCCAACCACAGATTTCTCACCGACAACCTGATGTGCATTTATGATAACCGGTCTTTGCCTCGGCACAACCAACTGTAGAATGTGGTTCCACCTCAGCTTCAATGCCACATCAGCAAGCTCTCATCATCCACCGTACACCCCTAATGTCACCACATACCTTCCTGGCACGCCCACACGACCCTGGACCGCCTTACATTCCTCGCACAAGCCTTATCACTGCCCCACACTTCATGCGAAGCACCAAACAGCTATTGCGAAGTATCAATGAAGCGCAGATCGAACCAGCTCCGATAACAAATTCCTTGCGCCACCATCTTCGCCGATTTTTCATTATTTTTTGGCTAAACAGAATGCCTTGAAAATTAAGAGGAATATACCTTACATTACAAGGAACTCACAAAAACAAATTCAGAAAAACATAATAATATTTAGGTGCCAAAAACAATTCTGCGGGGGCCCGAACCCGAATACGGGGACCCGAACACCCGAACGTTCAGGGGTCAGCTTAGGGGCCTCCGTACGTTCGGCCTAGCAACCCTGTATACATATATACATATATATATCGTCACAAACATACATATATACAGGGTCACCAGCCCGTACGTACGAAGGTCCCCGGGCAGACCTCCGTGCGTACGGGCGTTCGGGGTCCCGTACGGGGTCCGAACCGTACGGCGTTTGGCCCCCGCCAAAAATTATGTCGGGGCCTAAAAATAATTATTTTTTTCTGAATTTATTTTTGCGAGTTCTCTATGACGTGAGGTACATGCCTGTAAATTTTCAAGTCATTTGGCGGTGTCAAAACGTGCTCGCCCACGTATTTTTTCGCCAAAAAGAATTAAAAATCGCCAAAGATGGCGATGTCAAAACGTGCTCGCCCACGTATTTTTTCAGTTTTTACTTTTTGTTTTCACTTTAGTTCGGGGTCTAAACAATTTTATTATTTTTTGAACCTTTTTTACTGGGTTTTGTATTATGTGAAGTACACATCTGTAAATTTTCAGGGCATTTAGCTATGCCAAAAAAAAAATGAAAAATCGCCAAAGATGGCGGTGTCGAAAACCTGCTCGCGCACTCACTAAATTTAATTCTCTTTTTATTTTTATTTTTATTTATTATGAGTATTTTTTTTCGTATTTTATTTTTATTTCAAATTTGGTAAGGAATTCGGATGTAGTGCTCAGGCAAATCTTGTTTAATTTATTTTTCTCCATAACATATCTTTTTTTCAAATTTTTTTGATGACTTTTTTTTTTTTTTTTTTTTTTTTTTTTTTTTTTTTTTTTTTTTTTAAATTTTTTTGATGACTTTTTTTTTTTTTTTTTTTTTTTGGGTCCGCGTTCCACCCGAACGACCGAACGCATCCCCAAGGGGTCCCATACGTTCAGGCGTTCGGGTTCGAGCGTTCGGCCCGTCCCGAACGCCGGTTACCCTGCATATATATACATATCTATATACATATATATACATATCTATATACATATACATACATATATAGATATATATGTCGTCAAAACAGAGCTGCCCGGTAAACTGGAGGCAGAGAGGGAGAAGAGGACAACAAACGAGGGGCTCTGACAAACTCTTTCGTCGGAGCTTCATCGACTCATCGGGAGGTTGAACCCTCAATGGTATGCAGAATCCCCTAACTGATTACATTGTAAGTCCTAATCCACCTTACCCCCAGTTGTGGGTATATATAGTGTCAAACAGAGTTGCCCTGTAAACCGTGTGCAGAGTAAGAAGAGGACAACAAACTACGGGCTGTGACAAACTGTTTCGTCGGAGTTTCACCAACTCATCAGGAGGCTGAACCCTCAACTGTGACGAGGCAGAGGCAGAGCAATGAGGCTGGGAGAGAGAGGGAGAGTGAGAGCACACACACAAGCTCACTCAACTCGACACAGACTCGATACGACTCGACGGACGCAGACACAAAGTGGCAAAAGTCGCAAAGTCGCAGTCTTGAATCCCCGAACAGAACGTCGAAGCAAAGTCGCATTGAACACAAGCACTGAGGCTGAAAACTTGGTGCTTGTATTGTGCTTGAGTCCGTACCTAAGTACCGGACTGAAGTACGGTCCTGAGGCCGAAAGTGAAAACGCCTCAGGGGCAGAACTGAAAATCGAAAGTCTAAGAGTGGGCACCAGAATGCCGTATGGCTCCAAGTGTCCGAAATCCGAAAGTCGAAAAAGGAGGAATTCGAAAACGAGCGCCAACTGTCTGAAATCAGAAAAGCAAAAACAAAGCAAAACAAAACAAGAAAATCACGAAAACAAAAGAAGAAAATAAATACAGCAAGCTGGCGGGTGGTAATCCGCAGACCAGGGGAATCGAGCCCTAGCGTAATCCGTAACACTATCCCCTCCCTCTATAAGGCAACGTCCCAGCTGCCAAAAATCATGAAAATAATGTTGAATCCTGTGAAGGACGGGGCGGGGCCGATCACTGACTAGCAGGAAGAAAAAGGGAGAGGGGTATAATGTGGGTAGGAAGGGCTGGGGGAAACAGGGTTTTCCTACTGATGAGCTAAGGGCTATGCTTACTGATGGACTACTGAGAGGGAACAGTGTTTCCCTACTAATAAACTACAGGGTTAGGAAATGCAGGGGAACAGGGTTGTCCTATCGATGGACTACAGGGTTATGATCTGAGGAGGGAACAGAGTTGTCGTACTGATGAACTATTGGGCGAAAGAGTTCTGTGAGCAAAAATAAAGAAAGGAAAATTATTTTGCGGTGTTCGGGGGTTGGGGTTTCTGAGTGGTCTGGCTGAGAGTCTTGAAGCAGGTCTTGAAGTAAGTCCAGGTACAAAATGCTGATGATAAACCAGTCTTCAGCAGGCTTGTGACGTGTAGTAGCGAGGGTTCCAGCTTGAAAGAAGTAGTGTAGCAGTCAAATAGATGAAGGCCCAAGTGCCAGGGTGTGTCCTGTACATGATCCTGATGATGAAGTCTGATCCGGATAGCAGGTCGAGACTGATCCTGATGTCCACGTCAAGAGTGCTGCTCCAAAAGTCTTTGAGTCCAGGTGCCGGCCTGTCGCATACCGTAAAGGTGCAGACCAGAACAAGAACCGACCTCTCTCATATAGTACAAGATAGAGCAGCGGAAGGCTAATATACCAATGATCAGACAAATCAATGTCGCAATGCAGACCAAACATACATCATCATCATTCCATGGTGTGAAAGGGGCTGGCGCTCACACAGGAAGAGTGCGCCGGTCCCCAGCCATACACAGACGAAGAAGAGGGGGGTTAGACGAGGAAGAGGGAAAGATGGGAATGTCGTCAGCACCAAGTCTTCGGTACAGGTCCCAAATAATCCCTCGTTCAATGTCTCAATCCCAATGTCGAGTCTGGATCCAAATGTCGTCAAGTCCCAAAGTCACCAATCTCTGCCGAAACGTGCCACACCCTAGCGTTGAAGTTCAAACAAGTGTTGTCTTGAAAACAGGCCAAAAATGGCCTGTGTTAAAACCCTGGTCTGGTGCCTAAGTTTCAGGGCAGGTCGATCTTATGACGGCCTGAAAATGGCCCTCCGTTTCAGGCTGAAAAGACTCAGGGCCTGGAGGGCCCTGTTTTAGGCTGAAACGACATAGGGCTTGTAGGCCCTCGTTTTCAGGCTTTCAGGCTGAAAACGACACAGGGCCTGTAGGCCCTTGTTTTCAGGCTTTTAGGCTGAAAACGGCACAGGGCCTGTAGGCCCTTGTTTTCAGGCTTTTAGGCTGAGAACGCTGGTCGGGCCTGCTGTGTGGCTGCGCAGTATGCCACACGGCCACTGGGACAGCATGGTGGCCAACCAACTGCTTAATCTCCTCGAACTGTGCTGCAGCAGGCCATCGTCCTCGTGCGCTTACCATTAGATCCTTTATCGCGGGCGATGCACAGGAGCCACAGGTAAGGCTTGGACAAGAGAGACACAGAATGTGGCAGAGGACAGATTGGGGACCGAGACGGAGGCAAGAGCGGATCAGACAGAGAGAGGTCGAGGGGCAAGGGTTTTGCTGGGTGCAGGGGGTGTGTGTAGAGCAATGAGGCAGGGTTTATGCAGGGTATATGGGTGTTGTTTAGTATATAGCTAGGATATAGGGTGAGCACGATCATAGGCACGAACAAGTTTCATGG